TCAGTAAACCAGTACAAAGGAAGAAAAGATCTACATTAGCAACTGTGTGGCTACAGGGACTGTAGGTCAGAATACAAACAGCTACAGAAGACACCTCAGAAATAAGGAATACACCCTGGAACACCCACGGGACAGCAAGAAGAGCTTATATTTATCAACTTCAAATCTACTGTTCTTGTTCAATTAAAGGTCCAAATTAGTATTGATATTTTCTACAGTACAAAGAACTTTGAATGGAAACTGAACTGAAATAAATGTGTTAGCAATCCATAGTAGTGATAGAAGTTAGAAAGTACAAAGAAAGATTATTCAAATAGCACATGCCTTACCTGGTGACTGAAAGTAAGCTGCATACAGCAGACATTCACAATTCAATAGCATATCAAAAGAGTACAGGACAAATATGTAGCCCTTAAGTCTCCAAGTCTACTTAACTCGGAGTCTCGGCTCTTATTAACATATTTAGAGTTTTTTGTTTGCTTGTTTGTTTTAGGGTTTTTTTCATTTTTTTATTTCTTTTTTTAATGAGTGATTTTAAAGAGTATCTATCAAGTGACCTCGGGTTATTTAATTTATAAGAAAATTTTAACTGTTAAATGATTAGTGTCCGTTTTGCCAATCAGTTTCTTTAGGCTTTGAACATTTACATGGAATCTTGGATTTAGTTCATATATTTACATATTCCCATACTTCTAATACTGCTAACATAAAGCTCATTGCTATATCAGTGATAAGAACAAGCCTCATGTCCATCTGCTTCGCTCATCTTCCTTCAAATCCAAGATATAATTAGCCAGGAACAACGTGGAAAGCTATTTGATGACAAGTCTATTGGCTGCACAGAGATCAAAACACACTTTAACTACACTTTGCAGTAAAAATTAAAAGTTTAACATTCCGTAATTTATCACCGATTACTACATTCCGTGAGACTCTATAGGGGTGAGACTAAGGGCAAGGAAGAAGTTCTCTCGCTCCTATATTGTGTTCGCTCACCACAAACTCTCGTTACCCAACGAAATAAGACAAACCGTGGTGGGCTTTTGCAGTGGTGCAAGACATATCACATTTTGTCATGGTCTACCAGAGCAGGACTCTGCAGTAGATGGACTGTCTTCAACCCAGTATCAAGGATCTCATGAGAAAAGACACTTAGGCACTTTGAGAAATCTATTCAGTTAGATCCAATCTTACCACAAAATTTAAGTTGCCCCTAACTTTGGCTATAAGTAATTTTTATTATTTTTCTTTCTTCTCATTTAGTATCTTTTTCTGCCTAATCCTGCAGGCTAGAACTATCCCACACACCATTTGAACGTACACAAAACACAATGTCTTGAAAGGCCTAGCCCCAAACAGATGGGATGACAACACTAAAATGCAGGTCTTGGAAATCTATCATCATTATAAAAAGCTTGGACATCGTTAAACCTGGGATGCTGTGTGCCCAGCTGGATTAATTAATACCCACTACTCTTTGACCTTTTCCTGAGATGTGGACAATCATTCCCTCAAAGACAGATGATTCTCTCACTTGCCTTACATGGATGATGCAAATCAGTCTTCTGATGCAAAGAGAGTGGGGGGAAAAAGCACTAAGGAGGAGTACACGGTGCCAATTTCTGTGATTTCTTCCATATTAAAGCAAAAGTTCATAACATATTCCAAAAACTGTGAGTCACTAAAATCTCTGCAAAACACCAGCTTATCAGTCACATGTAACCACTCAATAACAGACCAGCTTCTCTATAGACTTACACGCTTGCAGCTCTGCTGGCCTCATTGCAATGCATTAAGACATCCTGACAGTGCCTAAGTGCAAACGTAAGTGCAAACCATGGCCAGTGTTTTACAAAACCGTTGATGTATGCCTTGCAAACCTGTATCTTTGATTAAAAGAATCCCAAGAAAAGCTGCACAGTCCTTCAAAAGAAATAATCTTTGTTGTACTATTTATTACATAGAGTCTTTACCATGCTTTTCTTCAGTAAACTAAATGCGCTTGGCCATTTTAGTGATGGTCCTAGATAAAAGTTTTTAGGGACACTTGAGCAACAAGATGCTGGACTGGCAGTAAAAAGTGAGATTCCTTCTTTTGTAAATCGACAAGGAAGGAAAGAGAAATTGTGTAGGTGACAACGGAAAGTAGAGGCAAAATGAAGTGTAACATACAGGCAGAAGAAAGAGAAAAAGGAGGAAGAGGGGAGGAAAGCATGTAGATTGATTGCTTCTAAATTATTAAATGAAATAAAGTACATAGCAGTGATGCCAGGATGCCACTGTTAAATCAGTTTAGTCAATGATCAGATGTACGTGAAGACATGAATTAACATAATGGAAGTGAATCCATCTCCTCTCCAAACACATACACAATATCTCCAGCAACAGCTGATTTGATCCATGAACTTAGCAGTTCAGTGGGATTATGAAACTGCCTAAAAACTCTAAGCTGGGAGGTGGTTAAACTCCATTTCATCTCAGTACATTTCTATTTTTCCCTGCAGTAGGCAAAAATACAGAAGAATGGGAAGTTGGACAAAATCCCTGCATTCCTGTATGTCAAGAATGCAGGTCTGCTGGTTGAACCACAACATTGTCTGTTTTTGTCAAAACCACTAGTTCTGGTAAGATCTCAAGAATGCTCCATCAAACCCTCTGGGAGAGAACTAAGGTTGCACATGTGTTGCTGAGAACACAATACAACAGAGTTTGTTCTATGGCAATCAATGTCAAAATCAGCTGAAAAATCTTTGTAACCAGAAGGGATTTCCAAGAAGGAAACAAAGAAGATCTCATTTTGATCTTTACAATCAAGATGAGAATTGAACTGAAAACAAACAAAGCAGCCTAACATGGAATTCAGTAAGACAAAAAGCAGCAACATGCCTTTCCATAACTCAAATCATGAAATACGTTAAAACATTCTAACAATTAGTAATTTATTTGTAATTTATTATATTTATAATATAATTTATAATAAGTAATTTATTAATTGACTATTTTTCTTTTCTTTTTTGGTTTTTTTTTGTTTGTTTTTTTAAGATTCACTTATGATCCATAAGCATTTGCTCGCCTGCAGCAATGTATGAAGGCTACGTAAGACCACGCAGAGAAATGAGAAGGCAAAAGTCATAAAATGAAGTCCTGGACTCTGCTGTAGCCATTTCCCACTTGGAAGCTATTCACAAGGATAACAGTAAAAGATATACATTCCATAGAGTTCTGTATATCTGTACCTTTTAAGAATATTCAGATATAGTTATGGAAGTATAAAACACAAAAAGAGAGAGACTGACAGTCTTCAGGCTCAAAAAGCTAACTCCAATTTTCTGCCAGGATATAGCTTCCCCTCTTTTAATTGTGATTGGGTTTGTCAGTTTTTGATTATGCATCAAAATATTACATCCTATCCTACAGTGAAAATTATGCTATTGAGGAGCACAGATTACATTTAAATACCTCCAAAATTTTCCTGCCTTAAAACTTTGTGCATCTCTAAACATATTTCATGAAATGTAAAGACAAAACATGGAGTACAGCGAAAGTGTGTATTTCTAAATATGCATATAGATGTACTACACACTTAAGATTGGTTTAAAAAGAGCTAAAACATAGCAGAAATAAAAATAGATTTTAAGTAAAATATACATATATATATATACACACACTCACAAAAAAGACTAAATACAAACATGAACACCATGCAATTCCCGTAATAAACTGGATATGACAAGACATATCCTTCCTTGGGCTGCCACTAATTTCACCTCTCCATGTATTGGTTATGTGGAACTCTAAACAGCAAACACTATTTTCTCTTCATGCTATACTATAAGTGCAACATTCCCAGAAGTCCTCAAAATGGGGTTAATTTTGCTCTTATAGTTAAATTATAGCGCAACAGAAATATATCTAAGCAAAAATAAGCAAGTTTTGAAAAATCTAAGCCATGAAACAAAGAGGAGGAGTACAAAGAAATTTCTTTGGTGTAGAGGATACTATAGAAGAACTAGAAAGTGGAAGTCATTATGAAAGTCATAAAGACAACAAAAAGGTAGGAGTATATAGTTAGCATTTCTTCTGTCCATGTGAATTTTGGCCTGCATTGTATCAGGAAGGCAAATGATAGGATTTTTTAATTCTGTGTTTTACTGCCTTTCCGAATGCATCCTTCGTCGTCGATTGCACCATCTGGTTGGCAATTTGCCTGTATGTCCTTCCTGCTTTCTCAGAAACTGTGTGGATGTGCTTAGGAAAGAAACAGGAGACACTGCCACTCAAAGAGTTGCCTGCCTGCACCATTTTAATTGTCCTCCTGTTCTTGTCCTTTTTCGTATTTTTCACCATCATTTTGCTTATTTGTGAGCGCCTCTGTGGCCAGGTATTTTAATCACTTTCAGTAGTGGTGATTTCTAACGTTCATATTTCAAGTTGATTTTCAAAATGTACTTGAATATTTTTATGTATTCCCTCCATAAATGAAGTTTTTGGAGGTTCGTTTGTGATTTGTTTTTCCTCTCTCTCTTTTATTTAAGGTGCATAGCTCCATATTCTACCATATGTTGGTTTGTCCAGACACCTGCTCCTTCTCTATCTCCCATTTTTTAACTATTTGTAGGACAACATACTGATAATGCACCCAGAAAATTCATTTTCGAGATCTATTTATATCAGAAAAGATATTAGCCGAATGCTGGCACTGCTTCCACTACCAGCATCAACCTTTTATCCGTAAGATAACCAGGAGGTGCCATGGGAAACTGGGCACCATATTCCACCTCTCAGCAGTACCACCAAGCACAGTAGTGCTTTCTACAGCTTAGGACCTCACACCAGGACTTTGTGTACTTGAAATAAATCTGACAATTGAGAGCCTCTTTCCAGCAGACTCGGGACTAGTCCAGTTAATATTTTACCTTGGCTTAGGCTTGCCACATTAGAGGTAACAATATTTTCTGACAGAAGCAAAGATAAATGGACAATATCCATGACTCTTACCTGTTTAGAGTGCAAACAGTCGGGAGCAGCAGCAGAAGAGAGACAACAAACACATTTGTTGGCACCTACACGAATCATAAAGGACAAAAATCTTGTCTTTCAGCAGCTAGAGGACTGTTTTCTCCTCATGTTAGAGGACCTCATGTATGTATTTGCAAATATCCAAATGTACAGATTTTGCTGTACATTTGTGTTTTCTTTCCTAGCAACTGCACATCTAGAAAGATTTTTCCAATTAGCAAGAAGTTGTTTGAGGAATTATAGTTATAGTCATAAGATATCTTAGATAGGAGCTACATATTAATACAAGATTCGGATTCTGCAGAATCACACTTCAAATTATCACCCAAACCCAGGAGGGCTTCAATTTCCATTGGCATCTTAGCTAGCTCATTCCTAGAGAACTTCTCAGGTACCTAAAGATTTGATTCTGGTACAACTTTCAACATTCATACTACTGATATGAGAAACCTCATGAGGTTCAACAAGGGCAAGTGCAGGGTCCTGCACTTGGGAAGGAATAACCCTGGACACCAGTACAGATTAGGGGTGGACCTGCTGGAGAGCAGTTCCGCAGAGAGGGACCTGGGTGTCATGGTGGACGACAAGTTGACCATGAGGCAGCAGTGTGCCCTGGTGGCCAAGAAGGCCAACGGGATCCTGGGATGCATTAAGAAGAGCGTCTCCAGCAGGTCGAGGGAGGTGATCATCCCCCTCTACTCAGCCCTGGTGAGGCCACATCTGGAGTACTGCGTCCAGTTCTGGGCTCCCCAGTACAAGAGGGATGTGGAGCTGCTGGAGAGAGTCCAGCGCAGGGCTACCAGGATGATCAGAGGCCTGGAACATCTGCCCTATGAGCAAAGGCTGAGAGAGCTGGGCCTGTTCAGCCTGGAGAAGAGGAGGCTGAGGGGGGACCTGATCAGCGTATATAAATACCTCAAGGGAGGCAGTGAGGAGGAGGGGGGCGGCCTCTTTTCAGTGGTGGACAGTGATAGGACTAGAGGAAATGGCTTCAAACTGAAGCATCGGAAGTTCCACAGGAACTTAAGGAAGCATTTCTTCACTGTGCGGGTGACAAAGCACTGGAACAGGCTGCCCAGAGAGGTTGTGGAGTCTCCTTCTTTGGAGATCTTTAAAACCCGCTTGGATGCAGCCCTGTGCCACGTGCTCTAGGTGACCCTGTGTGAGCAGGGGGGTTGGACTCGATGACCTCTGAGATCCCTTCCAACCTTCGACATTCTATGATTCTATGGTATACCCTCAGTTCTTACATCCGACCTTAATCCTGTTAGGATTGCTAAATATTCCTCTATCTAGCATATTCATGTGTCATTGAATAAATGAGCTGGCAGTTCAACTGATAGAACTGAACTCAACCATCTCTCATTATGGGAGAATAAATTAAACATCAAAATACAGGGCAAAAAGTAACTATGACCATCTGCTCCACTGGTAGCCCAAGCCCAACCCTACCTCAGCAAAGGTAGCTCTTGTTATTTTATTTTCTCTCATTTCCTCATGAAGATTTCCCTGCCACACTTCTCCAATGGCTGGATCAGGCCCAGCCTCTTCCCATTTCTTCGCTATGCATGAATTAATTGGAGACCACAATGTTTGCTCAGGACTTCTCTAAACAGCTCTTTGCTCCCATAATGTCAATAATCCTAATAAATAGCACTTTTTAATGGGAAATTGGCTACTTTTGGTCATGCCAAAGTAGTGCAACCGGTAACAACCCATTTTTTTGAACACTGTTTAGTTATGTCTGTGGAAGCTTTTGCAGTATCAAAGGAATGGCAGTATTTTCGAGAGCATACTTTATATATTTACATATATCTAGAATATAAAATCAATGTGGAAGCACTTAAAAACATTCTAAGCACAGAACAACAGTTTTTACCATTAAAAATACAAGTATTTACCACAGTTAATATAATCCTGGTATCTTAAATACAACCATTATTCTGCATTCCAACTATTGAGATATACTGCAGTATCAAATATGCCAGAGCACTGTAACTGTTAGTAAATGATGACTTTTTAATGGGAAATCCTGAACATGTTAAAAATATGATACAGTTCCTAATCCTATGTAACTAGAGGTATCTTATGCATATCATGAAGATTTAGAAACCTCTGAAAGACAGATGTGCCAAGCAACACACTAAAAGCAAGCATATATTGAATTTATTTATTAATTTATACAGTGCCTATCTCAAAACAGAGTCTGGAATCCTGTACAGAATAAACAAAAATTAAATCAAACTGGGCTCTAAGCCAAGAGAAATCAGCCATATCAAATAAAGTGGGGAATAGTGAAAAAAAAACCTGTTCCAAAAAGATACATACTTGTCTCCAGATCCTATGCCACGATAGTGGACACATCACAACATCAAACCTAGAAAGAACCGAACAACAAATTTACAGGAAGGCTAAAATTATTGCAGAAAAATAAAAAGAGTAATTATGACAGAGTTCATTTACAACTACTGAAAGTCACAGCACAGAGGCAATTAGAGTGGGGGAAATACAAAGCGTGTGAATTTTGCATGAAGATCGAGTGTACACTGTCACAGGACATCTATAATACTTCAGCTCTGCCTATTGATCATATTCCATTTTGTTCTTCGTATTATGTAAATGATAGGAAAAGAGCCTAAATATCATGTGAGGGCTTTCTGGTGGGTGTTCCCTCAAATACACAAACTCTGATTCTATCACTGTCCTCCTTTCCATATTTTATTTATAACGCATCAGGGTTTTTAGTCCTTTTTAAAATTTTGATGACTTAGATGAATAATGATGAGGCAGCCGACTAAATACAGAGTTACTACTCAGAAATGCCTCTGAGATCTAGAGACAGAGGACAACAGAGAAGAAAATTCTATTTTAAATGGCACAAAGGCAGGCTACACAATTAAAATGTATTTAAGCCATGCATCCTCTTTGATTTCGTCTCTTTATTCATTATTATGTTATTTTATCCATATTGCTCCGGGCTAGCTTTAAACACCACTTTTTTTTTCTGACGTTACCCTTCCATGAAAGCCCACTAGCCGTGGTACTGTACACAGTTAACCTGTGAGGACATTTCTCAGCGTCTCCTCTACTCTCCAACTCTCATCTATAGCGTAGTTGGGTCAGCGTCCACCAAAACCACCCCCTCCTTATAAAACCCACAACAACTGCAGCAACAGGTTTAGGTTCCTTCACCATGAAAAAAAGGTTTCAAAGGATTTTTAAAGCCCAAATCCTGATTACAGAAAATATTAAATCTTTTTGGGCCTCACTTAATAGTTTTGATCTATTAAGTGATAGATCAAATAGTTTCGGTCTGTAAATAGAGGAAGTTTTACTGATTGTGAGTGGTAGCATACCATCAGCAGAAATGTCAGTGCTACTGATACCAAGCTCTAGAAAAAATGTAAACACAGCTGAGACATTAAAAAAAAATGGTTGTAAATGATGGACAATAATCAATAACACGTGATCTAACTCAATTAATTAATTTTGCATTGCATGCAATATTAATACACTGCAAAAAAATCTGGAAAAAACATAACAATGGCTTGAATATATAATTTTCAATGTATTTCCACTTAACTTACCATCCTGGAAAATGCTGGGTAAATTCTGTAATAATATAACCAGTTAAAGTAATCTCTTAAAAACATAATATAAGGGAACATGGCACGTCTGTTTTTTGTTCTTAATTATTATTATTATTATAAAAAAGATATTTCAAATTAGTATACAGGCTATTAAGTCAAAATCCTTGACACTTCTGCATAAAGCCATCACAATTAACATTACATCTGGTTTAAAATATTTATATCTTTCTAAATATTTATTTCAAACACCGAGTTTGCCTCATTAATTACATGTACATTCTCAGAAAAGGGAGCTGCCCTTCCTGCCTCTCTATGCGGGTATCTGCATATGCAGGAATGTAGAGAAATATTCATACACACACATAAACCCTTTTCCTATCAAAAAGCCAGCAGAATACGTTCACAAAATTCCTGTGATTAAAAACATTTCCTCTTTTACTAGGATTTCTTTATTGATTATAGATGATAGCTGAATCTCCGAATCAGCTTTATTAGAGATGGAGCTGTTCACATGTCTAATTTTAACACACTCTTTTCATTTGCCCTTTACTCTAAATAACTACACCAGATGAGGATACAATTTCCCCTCCGGGGTGTTTGCCTCCAGATGATTACTATTTTCTGAAAGTTCCAGCCAAAGCAGCTCATTCCAAAAAGACAGCAAAGAGAATACAGGATGTTTTGCCAGTGTTACTAAATTCTGGCAATTCATTCTTTCAAATGCTTTTGCACTCCCAGACTTAAGGACAAATACAAAAAACAGTAGCGGGGAGGCAAGACAGGAATGATGAAAGAAAGAAAGTACATGATGGAAAAGGTCAGAGGGACAACCCTCCTTCATAAAAATGATCTGCCGCAAAATAGACAAGTTTAAAACAAGGGAGAAAAAAATCCTAACCAAAGCAATTCTCAAGTCCTTAGGAGCAATGTAGGGAGCCATGGTACACAGCTTCAGCTCTCATCTACCACAATCAGAGGATCATTCCAATTGGAAGAGACCTTGGCAGATTTCTAGTCCAACCTCTTGCCCAAAGCAGAGTCAACCCAGAATTCAGATTAGGATGCACGAGGCTTTGTCCAGGTGGGTCTTGAAACCCTCAAAAATGCAGATTGCACTGTCTCTTATTGCTTAATTATCCTCTCAGAGACTGTTTTTTGCTTTATATCCAGCCAATTTTGTTTCAGTTTAAGCATTATCTATCAGTAGCCACCTCTTACATCTGAGTGGGTGCATAAAAAATCCCAGCACTGGACCAATTGCTGTGGACATATAAGAACATTAAAACTGGTTTGCTACAAAGACCTAAGAGTAGGAATTAAAGGAGATGCACTAAAGCACATCGAGAGCACTCTGGTAAACAGCGAGGATGGAAAATGGGGATGAGCATAAGAATTAGGACTATGAGACAAACTCTGTAGTTCATGAGTTCCAGAAACTTTGGGCTAGGTCTGTATTTCTTGATCACATAAAAACAAATAGCCTGAACACAGTATCTCAGCCTGAGGAGGAAAAATAGCAGAAACTTTGGACTTCATTGGATGTGTGCCACAATTTCGTGCATTAAAAATCAAAGATACTAACAGTTCCTCATTTCACAGAAATACTGTGAAGATAAATTAGTATTTGAGATGCTTGATGAACGCCACAGAAAAGTTCGTCAAGAATGATTAATGTCTTCAAAGCAGGATATGAATAGTGTATAGTAAATATGGCCTAAGATCACACCTTAACCAATGAAGGCAAAAATAATGAATAACTGTTCACCAATACCAATTTTATGTGCTAAAGGAGGCTTGGTCGCACAGGGGAAAAAAAAAAAAGCAGTAATCCTATTATGTAGTTAGCATTGCAGCAACAGAGATGAATTAAGGTCACTAACTTAATTCCCGCATTTTTTAACTTTTAAGATATTAGCTTTGTAACTTTAAAATGTTCTTTTAATACAATTTTTGGTGTGCAATAAAAAAGCACATACCTGTTTAACCGATTTCCATGCCAGAGAACAACTGATAAATTAGAAGCACACACAGTCATGAAAAGCCAACGGTGTGCCATCGAAGACGATTGCTGATATTTGCCATAGTTTATAGGTCTGCACTGCAGTTTATTAGCATTAATTTCCCACTGCGTAATTTTTTTTTTCAGGCTCTTTCTGAAGAGCCATTGTATCAAGTAACCTGAACCTCCTTTCATATGGGCTCTGTTCATTATTGAAAATGGGAACCATTTAACTGATGTGGATTGAAATCAATGGAATTTGCAAGTACAGCCCTATTTCAGAATGCATAAGCCACAACTCACCTCAGTACTTGCACATGTGAATAACTCCAGGCATTCCAACAGTCCTTTGGATATCACTGGGATAACCAATGTTCATCACACACGCCTGCAATGGCAAGTGAAAGATCACACTAGCTCATGGGAAAGCAGACAGGAACAACCAGGGATATGGTAAGCAGTGTATGTGTTTTAACTGTATGGACAATGTGAAGCAGGAGGCAGGGGTGCCTTAGAGAGCCTTGGTTAATGGTTGGGGAAATAGTCCAAGACCACATATTCAAGATACACATAAAGCCTATAGGAAGTTTCTCATTCTCTTTTCCTGCAAAGTTCAGCAAGAATTTTAATGCTCCCAGGACTTGCAGCTTAGAGGCACGCAGGGATCTTGCCTTTTAAGCAGTATATTCAGAATAACTCTCTATCAGAGAGATTGCACTACTGAACAAAGAGTGAGGCAGTGGTACAGAGGATCTGAGAGCTCCCCACTGTTTGTATTGTACAGAAAAATAGTGCACCATTTAACTCATGTTCTTTACCAGACAATATCATGCAAAAATGAGTTCTAGCTCATATATCACAGTATGTGTTAAAAAATGGCTGAATTCAGTTCAACCAATGATATAGCAAATGCAGAAATATATTACTGTATAAATGAGGGAACAAGTCTGCAAAACCTCATTTATGGGAACAAACCCACCAATAACTCATCTAAATTAAAGATACACACAAAAAAAAACCCACCAGAGCTAGGGTTTTAGGCTCATCATTTTTGAGAAAGATAAAGTTTGTATAAACATCCATTCTGGTTATTCATTAAAATCAAAGAGTACAGCTCTTAGGTTTTGACCATCAACATCCTGGCAGATAACTCTTTTTGCAAGGTAATAAAGCTCTTCAGAATTATACAATTGTTCTTGTGTATACCTCAGATTCTTAAAATTTGCAAAAGTTTTCTCTGTTTTAATTTACTACTTTTCTGGGTTTTATCAGCTGCTTTTAGTTTTTTGGCACATCTCCAAACTCATCTGGATAGTAGCATGAACCAAGCGATTCTGGCATCTAGAATTCTATCTTACAAACGCAAATACTTTTCTAACTGTGACAAAAGTTCAAGCTTTCAATATACAAATCTGTTCTCTCCTGTAGCACTTAAATACACAGAGAAATAACCTCTCTCTCACAGCACACACACATTGACCCAATGCATTTTGTTTGCTGTGTCACACTTAATCTCACTGTTTTAAAACCAATGTTTCCTATATACAGTGGTAAATGGAAATGGCCTCCAACAACCTCTCAAGAACACAATTATATTATACAATGATATCTGAGATTTAGTAAGACACGTATCACCTTGTTTATCCTTAAGTAACAGGGTATGATGAATGAGAAAACCTGATCCTTGCTAATGCCTTTCTGACCACCAAAATTCACTAAATGGATGATCATAATTGCTTCCTAGTGCTCCTGAAATACCATACTCAGAAAACTTTCCTCTTATAATCTGTATAGATAGTCCTGTTTAAAAATAACATCCATCTGCGTACGCTTCAGGCCTTACTTTAATGAAATTCTATCCTTATTGTAGATATGACCACACAGAAACCATGAAAGTGACATTATAGGCCAGGATTTTCACTTATGAATAATGCTATTTAAAGGAAAAGTTGATGTTTTGCTAAAGTAATCAACCTTGAACTTATTGATAGGTACAACATTGACCTCCCCTTTGCCTAGCCCCAGGGAATGCAAAACTATTTAGTCTTGCATAAGCTTTCACCGAAGTATTTTTTAAATGATTCAGAGTAATCGTAAACTTTACTTAGTACAGGACACATACTGTGTTTTGGCTTTTCACTAACAGACTTTATGTAGGGATCGGGGGAAAATATATATATATGTTTTCCCAATCTAAAATTGAAAATACATATTTTTAGATGAGATCCAAGTTAAAAGACATTACAAATATTAATTGGTTTAATCTGAGACAAGAGAAATCAATGACCTTCCTTGTTGTCCCCAATTCTAAGGAGATCTCCAGAGCCCAGTGTTAACTTACCAAAACAAACCTACCACACGCTGTAGTTTGCACTAGTGATGCACAGTCATAGAAGCACCAGTCTTGACGAGCATGGCTCATATGAGTAATTCCACCACGATGGTTGTTTTGCTCCTTAACCTGTTTTTCCTTGCAAGGGAAAAGCCTGCGACTCTTGCACGCCTTGAGCACACTTGGAACTGCAGCAATCCTGCATAATGAACACACGTTCTGTTGCCAAGGCTCTGAAAACATTTGGGCACAGGTGCTGGTTCCTTGTCAGCCTCCAGGGCCAATAAATGGAAGCTCTGCAATGTAAAATGAGACAATACATCCACAAAGTCATTACGTTTTCCCAGAACATGCTAAGCTCCAAAATAAATGCATTTCAAGCCTTCTAACACCCTGTATTCATAAGGCTCATTACTGTTTTTAATTTTGCTTGCTGCTTATTTACTGTTTACTCTCCTGCTTTACTGCCCTGGTGAAATTGTTGTTAATTGATACCCCCGAATGGAAAGAGACAGAAAAAAAGGAACACAATTCCAGAAACGTTTGGTCCTTAACTAAATCCACCATAGACTCCCTGCTGCCAATATGGCACCACATTAAAAGGTTAAAAGAACTTCTTCCAAATTTCCGTATCCTCTTTAATCTCTCTTGTCAATCTTCTAAAGTGGCTTTTTGGCAGGGAAAGTAGCCATCTCTATCCTGTGACAAAACACTTTCAACAGAAGATACGAACTTACAAGCAAAATTATGATGTCTCTCAAATGACTGCAGCTGTCTGCATTATTTTCATAGACACTAAGTCCCACTGAGGGATGAGAAATTGTGCAACTTTACCCCCGTAACAGAATTCCATATCCCCCCAAAGAGCAGGATTATCACTAGACACTCAAACTCGCTCCTCTGGGAGTCCTTCCCCATGACCATCTTGTAATTTTTGAACACTACTTCCCCAGAGACACAAAGTCCCGCTCTCCACATGTGGCACAGCAGCCTCACTTAGTTCAGTTACTGCTAATGAATCATATTCTCCTAATATTGAAAAATCTCTGCTGTCTCCTGAAAATCCTGCTCAACGTCTCTCAAGCTGCTTGCTCACCAGAATGCCACCTGTATCTGTCTCCATTGATAACGGCACTTGCTGACATCTATCAGGCTACATAGATGCCAGCTTTGCTCTGTCCCAGAGTACTTCAAACTCAGGCTGTTCTGTGCATAATTTCATAAGGTTTTAACCTCCATATCTTATAATAGCTTTTAAACTGCCCGTCTAGGCAAAGTTATCTGCAAATTCACATAAGCTTTTGTGCAGGCTGTATTGTGAATGCAGGCTTTTAATGCCGGCATTCGTTTTAGTTCTTCCTAGTTTAGTCTCATTCTACTAAACAATATTACAGTAAAATAGCAGATACTGCCAGGTGACATTAGGTGACAGCAGACAAACTGAATAAGCTAGCACACAAGTAGATCACATTCAGATGAAATCAAGACTTCAGAATCGACCAGTTCAGGCTTGAAAGCTAATAAAGATCAACAGCATTTTCATAATGTGCATTAGAGTTATAAAAATAGTACTAATGGCAGAATATGCTTAGTGTGAATTTCCCATGCATAGCACTGTTTGCTTTATTTACTTCATTTATTTTTAAGCCAAGATTCAGTTGGAAGGGACTTCTGGGATCCCTTGGACCTCTGGAAGGGAGCTAGTCCAATTCTCCTGCTCTAGCAGGGTCATCTAGAGCAGGTCGCACAGGACCCAGGTTTCTAGGTAGGCCTAGAAATTTCATGTTTTATTAATAAAATGGACAGCTGTAAAACCTATATGCAGTATATTTCAAAGCTGATAAAAATTTTTAAATTAATTTTGTCGCAAAAATGTCTTACATAGTGAACTAATAACATTACCCAAGATAAAAAAAAGAAAAAAAAAAAAAAAAAAAGATGGCATTACAGTGCAGAAGTCACTTTTTCAAAGTCATGAGGAAAACTGGTAGCAAAATATAGTTCACTTTCCCTGTCCAGTGCTGTATCCTGCTAGAACGCAAGTAATAATCACCACAGTTGAGAGCTTTTTCATATAGTTTTGCTTTTAAAGCAGAAAGTCCACAGTTGTCTGAACTGCTTTGCTTTGGGGAAAAATTTAATTTTCAAGTCAGGTTATTAATTTGTATTTAATTTCAGATTTGTATTTTAATTGGCTACCAAAGAACAAAATATTGTATATGAAATGAACAAACAAAAAATCCCTAGACTTTCACAGTCATCCCCTTCCCGGGAGAGAGATTAACTTTTGGTAGCACAGAGCTGAGAAGAAGCCCTTGTACCACTCTGATATCAATATATTTTGACAAAAATCATAGACTACCCTGCTACCAGTCAGACAGTGTGACACAGGGAACGCAAGGCTTTTAACACCACATTTTCAGTTATTACTATAAAATTGTAATTAGATAGTAAATTACAATATTAATATTCACTTTGAACAAATAAGTGTTTGTAGTTGTAGAACTGGGCATTATTATGGTAGCACAGGGACCTATTCACCAAGTAAGACACAGACTTTCTTCATAAAAGTTATTTTCCTATTCTGTAGTTTCTTCTTATGAACTTGCATGAAAATACTGGCTTTTTATGCACACTATTTGCTGAAGTCATCTTCACCAACATCAAAATCTACATTTCCCTTTGGGGAAGTGCCAAAATAAGCATTTTTCTCATCTGGTTTCACTAGCTAAAGAATGCAAAGAAATGAAAGAATCATTTCTCCCTGTACAGAAAAAAGATTATGTAAATGAAATGACAAATTTAAACTCTGATCAGCTATACAGGAACTTTAGCATTTGTTTCTCCATTGAAAATAAGTTACTGCACTTTAATAATGCATTTCATATGACATGCAAAATATAGTCAAAAAACTATTATTCATGAAATCATTGGTATTTAAAAACAACAAATACTTGCTTGGTTGCACTCACTGCTACTGAGACTTCTCCCTTATACGTCCCCCCTTCTGGGAATAGCTGATTCTATGGCTTAGAACATACAAAGTCCTTCCTAGTTTGAATACAAGCAAGATTGAAAATACACTTTAATCCATTACACCAAATAACCTGAAATGCATCTTGCTCGTCTACTGTTAAACAAGTTGAAATTTGGCTTTAGAGAAAGTTCCTCTGAATATTCAAGTAGAAACATGTGACAATGTAGTTCCAGAACAAACCTTTGCAAAACATTCTGAGCATGTAAAATATATTTTCAGCTGTGATTCACTGATGGCTAAAAGAAAGACAGACTTCATTACATACAGAGCTGTCTCTGAAGTTAACATGCACAGAGAGGTCTCATTCAATGTGCATAATATCTTGGAGGAGAAAAGGAAGAAAGCAAATCCTGTGTCCTCTTGCAGTGTTAGGAATCACCGCTTTCCTGCATCACAAAACTATCACCCATACAATAATTGTATCACCTTTGCACAGAGAACTGGCAGGATTGAAACTGGACAAGGTAATTCTACACCTGGCAAAAAGAGGACAAAACAGTTCCAGGAGAGTTTGATTTTAAAAATTCAGTGATTGATTGACTCTGTTCAAAGGTTTAGAGCATTAGAATAAGTCCCAGGAGAGATGGATGAGTGAGCAGAGAGGAGGTAAGGCTGCCAAAAGGTGCATGATAAGTACATTTATCACGTGGCTTTGTAATTTATCTTACGTGTCTACAATGTTTCATATAGCCCACATCCGTAATCATCATGTGAAAAATTAGGGGGCCATGTGTTAAATTAATTTGTGATTTCTAATAAGTTAATCATTTATCCATGCAATTTAAATTTAACTTCTAGTCATACCTAAGCCTTTCAAGATGCAAACACAGAAAAACTTATAACAATGATCAAAATGAGAAAAACTAAAGTCAGAAAATAGGTTTCATAAATGTCCAATTCCTTATTTCTGAAGCAAACAATTTTCACCTCTACAAGTGAAAAGATTCCAGATTTGCAAACCAAATAGGAAATTGTGACTAATATGAAAAGTGTCTCTTTATTTGTTGTTTTTAAATACCAACTGAACTACCTTGAACTAGCACTGTCACATTATCGACCCACCAATCCATTTCCTTAGGACTTAACGCATTCCGAAATGGCTGAGCCACTTCTTTGTAACATGCCACTCAAGGAAACGTTTTTCCTCTGTCTTCTTGAACCATTGCCATCCTGCAATCCTCAACAAAGCGTTTATGTATATAACCATTCATCTGGTTCTTAAAATGTTAACACTGATACTAATTGCATTGAAGCAACCCAGTATGTAACTAAAACTACTGCATCATCAAGTTAAAAAAAACAAAAATTAAAAAAAATCATATAAGCTGAGTATTCAACTAGTTTGGAGAAGATCCATTATTTTCATTAATGAATCTCATTTTTATTTACTTTTTTTTTTACTGTCACATTAAAAGCACACTTTTTATTGTTTTTCCTAATGCAATTTTGTGTGATATGCTCAGAATGAATGGAATAGTTATTGTTTTAATTATTTTTTTCATTTTGTTTTTTTCCTGTTCCTGTTTCCATTATTTATTACTTTTAAGATTACTTTGATACCATTTACTGTGAACACAAGTGCACAAAAATGAAATATCCACACGTTTATACATAAAATCCCATATATACACTTATGGAGACACACATTCACACATTTTTTTCTTTTAACACAAATTTTAAATTCTTCTACTCCACCCCACATAACTGAGCCAAGTGAGCCAATTTGCTTAGTAAAATTAAGTAAACTCACATTCCAAATTTCAGTGAGAAGCTGAACTACTTCTGATACTTAAAAGACAGTAAAATATTAAAAACACTTGTTTAAATATTTGGACCATGTAAATTCCAGGAGAGCTAAGTGTAGATTTTCCAACATAAATAGTCGTGACTGTCATTTTTGTAGGTGAGAGTAATGTGTGGAATGAGAGAAAAAAATATTCAGAGACAAGCTCCATTCTAAACTCTTCATTCCAATATAATTTCTATGGGAGAGCTGCCACTTACTTCAATGGCAAAACATTTGAAATTAAGATCTCAAAATATAACACAGAAAGATTATTAAGTTAATTCTTTGCTTAGTGAGGTAGTTGTTCACGAAGCCTGAAAGGAT